ACAATGTATCGCTGGTTGGTGGCCATGTTTGCGTGTTTGCTTGTCGTTAGTGGTCTCTCCACCCTGTGCCTTCTCTTTCTCTTATTTCTTGTTATTTTCGGCCTGGTCCCTTATTGTCCTCGCTCTTTTGATTTCATTTTCTCTTTCCTTACTGTTTTATTTTCTTCTCTTTTTCTGTACCAGATGGCCTTGTCTCTGCTTGCGCGTTGTGAAGTACCAAGATTGAACCAATGGGGTGTATGTATGTACCTCTTTCCCTCCGGCCCGTGATGGTGACTCCTCTGGTCTCAGTTGTTATACCTCGCATGGCGCGCAGAGGGAGTGGAGGACTCCAGAATATCTGTCGTTGATTTCTATTGACTTGCGGACCCCTCGGGGCCATTTTATTTGAGTGTACCTTTTTAGGGTAAGTTAGCCTGCGACCACGGGAATCGACCGCGTCGAGTGTTGTATCAGGACGGACATACGAAGGTACTGTGTGGAGAGAGATCGGAACGGTTTTTAATGTGAAGACAACAACAACAACAACAGCAACAACAACAACAACCTGTGTTGCCGACCACCAGATACTTGTACGCATCGACATCTAATTATTCTAGGCTCATGGAAAAGATTCCAGGAGATTCTTTTGAATAAATGAACCACTTCGAAAAATGCCATATTCTTTCAAAATTAAACCTCTTCGTTCCTGTTTTCCTCTCTATTCGAACCCCGCGCACACTCCTCCGTACGTTGCGCCCAGCGCACGACAGATAAGGATATAGGAACAATTCATGGTTGAGCTTTCGCTCTCCTGCCACACCGGGGGTTGAGCCACCACCATGATCATTCACATCGCAGATGTTTCTTCCGATGGTGCGCCGCCCTGCTTCGAATCTTTGCCGAATATGAGTCCGCTCCCGAATAATCCAGCTGGTCGCTACCAGATGGTAAAATAAAAACTAGCCGAGAACACCAAACTGGCCGTTGTCTTTTAGGGCCTTTTTCTGGTTAGCCGCAAGGCAGATATCCCTGTGCTGCGTTGTATGTTGCTCGCAGCATCAGAGAGACGCAGACAAGCGTTGTTGTTGTTGTTGTTGTTTCTCACATTAGCTCTACAGTCCACAAAAAATGGGGAGCCCGTGGTCTCAAAACCCGGCACATACGACGCCGCGGGGAAACAAAACACAAATAGGGTGTACAAACCACTCGGAACAGGAAAACAAAATGATAGAAAGAACATAACAGGTATCGCAACGACCGTTCTAGAAACGAGCCCTCGGAAACCGATCAAAAGAAGAGAAAAACAAAAATAAAGGAGGACGCTTCCCACACCCGCCCAAAGAAAAAATCAAAGGGTAGCGTACTTGCACCAGGCACTACGCACCAGGGCATGGGAGTAACGGAGCAAATAGGACAAAGAGGCGGCAGATAGGCAGACAGCCAGACGTACAAAACAAAGGCAACAGCAAAGCGAGATCAAGGTACCCAACACACACAGCAGAGTAGGCAAGGAGGTCTGAAAAAAACGAAACACAGCACAGAAGCCAAAGGCAATACAAAGGACATACACAAAGGAGTATGGCATACAGCAGGGAGGGAAACCGGGCGCAACAATATCAGCCGGGTACACCGCAGGAGGGGGTCCCTCCCCCCCTCCAATGTGACCCCGGTTGGGTCGTCTAGCTAGTAGAAGTGGAGAATAGGGGCCAGAGGGGCAGACGACAGAGTCCAATGATGGGAGAAAAAAAAAAAATGTTCGCCACAAGTGCTGCCTCTCGGTGTGTCGTCCGCTGATACATATGCGACCGACAGAGTCAAGCAGTGGCCCACGTGCGTTCCGCTCGACGACATCCCGTCTCTATTCGAGGTTGAGGAGGCGGTGCGGGGAATGGCCAACAGGAAGGCCGTCGGGCCGGACGACCTACCGGCTGAGCTGATCAAGCTGTTCCTGGATGGAGACCGAGGATTCCTCCGCGAATTCCACGCCATCGTCGTGGACGTGTGGCAGACGGGGAACGTACCGCAGCAGTGGAAGGACGCCACCATCAAGGTTCTGTTCAAGAAGGGGGACACGATGGAGTGCGGCAACTACCGGGGCATCTCTCTCGTTGCACACGCCGGCAAGGTGC